GTCATCCAGTGACCAATAGGTAAGTTGTGTCTTTTGATCGAGGCAGCAGGATGAAATGAAAGACTTTCTAATCTTTACTATGGACTGCTTCAGGCATTAGAAAGGTTGAGAGGCTCTATAACACTTATAGGCAAAGATTATGAACATTGATTTTAGAGATCATAATTAAATTTATGGAATATTTTTGCTAGATATAAGGCTCTTATGAATATTATTTTGTAATTGTTACTTTGCTAATGCTAACAATTAGGGGCTGGGATGTTGGAGCCTATTAATTACATTAATGATATATTAATGTTACATATCTAAAGTTATGTGAACAGTAGATCTATTGTTGTTTATTTTGCTTAGACCCTCCTTCTTGTCAGTCAGCCTCCTGCTGTGATTAACAAGCAAAAGCAGCTGTGGTTGATCTGATTGTTTTGTGAAGGAGTGAGGAGTGAAACATTTTTTCTACCCCCAATTAATGTTTATCTTTTACATTTTTGGAAGTCAACTCAGAAAATATTTGTTAATTTTATAAGTAAAGAAAATGTTGTCCATCATTTTAAGTGGCTTACCCATACACAATTTCAGATTAATAAAAATCTAATTTCTAATATGATAGATTGTTACTGTCTGGTAAGTACTGTCAGTTAGGCCGAAAATGTCTCATGCCTGGTTCCCAAAAATGTCTTTGGGAACTTGGTGTAGATTCCTGAGGCCAAACATTGTCAATGGCCTCCAACCAACACATTAAAGATGGGCTAAACCAAGTGAGATCTCATTGGTGCCTCATATTTTCTTCTTGATAGAACAAATTATCTGTAAAAGCAAATTGAGATTTGACTGAAGCCACATAAAGCACTTCATATTTAGATCAATTAACAGCCTCTTGTATTTCAATAACATATATGCTCAACATAATTGAGTATAAATTGGTATTATGTCTTTCTCAACTCCCCTCATCTTTTTCAAATGGTTTGCTCCACAAGTTCTTAAGAAGGCCAATGGTGACATCGTACCCTTTGGTCTCCAGGTCTGACAAGGTAGGTGAAAGAAGGATTTGATTCGTTTGACTGACTTTGTTTGAGTTACATTGGTTAAAACAATAAAATAGCATTTTTGAACTTTTAATTCAAAGTGCAATTCAGCATGCTACTCAAATCAAGAATTCAGCATGCTACTCATACAGGTTGACTGGCTTACATTTATACATTTATTTATCCACATATAGTTTTCCTTATCTACTACAGCCCTGTAATGGCTGCCATCTCACACACATCCTGAGATTTGATGTCCCCATTTCCCCCATGCCCATCCCCTCCTCAACATTCCCTCCATGGGAAAATGTTTGAAGATAAAGAATGGTGGGATAAGAGGAATCAAGAATTAGTATGCAAATGATTGTAATTTATACATTTATTAATCCACATATAATTTCCTGATTTGCTGTAGCACCTCTACCTAGTTTCCCTGAAATGGCTGCCGTCTCACACACATCCTGAGATTTGACGTCCCCATTTCACTCATGCCCATCCCCCCAAACATACTGACCCACATGTCAGGATGTTTGAACTTTTGATGCAAAATGCTTGGTTGAAAGAATGGACAAGAGCAATCAAGAATCAGCATGCTACTCATACAGGTTGACTGGCTCACATTTATATGTTTATTTATCCACATATAGTTTTCCTTATCTACTACAACCCTCCACCCAGTTTCTCTGTAATGGCTGCCATCTCTCACACATCCTGAGATTTGATGTCCCCACTCCACCCATGCCCATCCCCCCTCATCATTCCCTCCATGGGAAACATGCTGAACTATAAAGTAAAGCATGTTTGAACTATTATGGCAAAATGTTTGAAGATAAAGAATGGTGGGATAAGAGGAATCGAGAATCAGAATGCAAATTATTGTAATTTATATATTTATTAATCCACATATAATTTGCTGATTTACTGTAGCACCTCCACCCAGTTTCTCTGTAATGGCTGCCATCTCACACACATCCTGAGATTTGATGTCCCCATTTCACCCATGCCCATCCCCCCCTCAACATTCCTCTATAGCTTGCTCTCAAACTTTGCAAATTTGACTGGTGTGGAACCTACAAAATGTTCATTACAAAGAATAATTTTATCACCTGAAGCAACACTTTGGGAGATAATAAAAGTTAACTAATTAATTTCCTAGTTTTATAACTTAATTGATGCTCAGTGGAGTTGTGACGCCAAAGTTAAGGTGTGTTAGTTATTAACACAGAGCTGGGCCATAAGCCTCCGCTAGCTGCTTTTTGCAACCAAGCAGGAACTTCGAACTGTGCCGGAGTCTAAATCAAGCGCTCCTTTTTACCAGCCACACACCTGCACCGAAGGAGGGAATTCAGACCTTCATGCTAACATCCGAGGAATGAGGAGCAATCCAGCTAAAGAAAATGGTAAGATTATTGTTGTCTTAATGGACTCCCAGTTATCATCTATTATATCACTCGGTCAGATATATACATTTTAATGAACTATGTAAAACTATTTGTACATATTTTTCTTCTGATTTGTTTATATGTTTGAGAAATAATTTGAAAGTAATCTCTTTTTTATATCATTTTAGCTAAACAAACAAATGCTTGGCTACTCAGAAGAGTCTCTATCAAGTTCTGACATCACTGAGGAAGAGTATGTTCCTGATTCAAAGGAATCTGAGAGTGACAGTTCTGAAGACAGTAAACAGCTCAAGAAGAGGAAGAAAAGAGCCCAGAAAAATACTTCTTCTCTTGAAGTCCAACCACTGAGGAGAATACATGTGACCACTTCTAGTTCCTTGACCACAAAAGATCCTGGAGAATCTTCTTCAACTGATGCGAAAGATCCTGGAGAATCTTCTTCAACTGATGCGAAAGATCCTGGAGATCTTCTTCATTTGATGTGAGAGTCATGACCTTGAAGAAGAAGGAAGATGGCAGTAGGGTTTACAATAAAAGGTACTATTGTCCATTTTGTAGCAAACCTTACAGCAAAATGGCACGTCATCTAGAAGCAAAACACAGTGATATGCCAGAAGTGGAAAGTGCACTGAAATACCCCATAGGTTCTAGAGAACGACGGCTGCAGTTGTCCTTGATAAGAAACAAAGGAAATCGTACCCATAATAATAAAGTCATTAAAGAGGGAAAGGGAATGCTCATTCCCCGCAAACAATGCACTAAATCTTCAAAAGCGGGTGATTACTTGCATTGCATCAACTGTGAGGGTTACCTCAAGCGGAAATCCTTGTGGAGGCATATGCAGAGGTGTTATCTCAGTCAAAAAGTCAAAGGACTGAAGCCAGGAGCATCTCAAGTCCAAGCCATTTGCAAATATGCTGAGCCAGAACCAGACAGCGTCAATGCACAGTTTTGGAAATTAATACTTGACATGCACCAAGATGATGTAGCAAAAGTTGTCCAAAGTGAGAAATGCATCTGGAAATTTGGAGAACATTTGTTCAACAAACATGGTCAAGATGTTACAAGACATGAATACATCCGACAGAAGATGCGCGAGACCGCCCGACTTGTTCTGCAAGGAAAGAAAGATGGCAAGTTGGAGACGCTGAAGGACTTCTTTGTGCCAGCTAACTTCCCTCATGTTATCAAGGCAGTTAAGAAAGTGGCTGGCTTGAATGAAAGAACAAATGTCTTCAAAACGCCATCTTTAGCACTCAAGTTGGGGCACAACCTCAAGAAAGTGGCAAATGTTCTTGAATGTGAGGCTATGATCTCAGGCGACGAGAATACCATTCACAATGTGCGAATTTTCAAACAAATTTATGAGACCAGATGGAGCGAGTGTGTCTCTTCCCATGCCCTTAGGAGTTTGAGTGAGGCTAAGTGGAATGCGCCTCAGCTCATTCCCTTTGCTGAAGACGTTAGGAAAATGCACCAGTATCTGGACACAAAAAGGATGGAGTGCCAGAGAAAACCTGAAGGATGAAGCTGTAAAGAAGAACTGGGCTGAACTTGCCAAGATCACGCTTTGTGAGGTGATAATATTCAACCGGAGAAGAGAGGGAGAAGTATCCAAGATGCCACTGAATGCTTTCACCTTGAGAGATACCTCTGTCACCCATCCAGATGTGGAGCTTGCTCTGTCAGAACTTGAAAAAGCTGTGTAAACACTTCCAGCGAATTGAGATAAAAGGCAAACGTGGCCAAAAGGTTCCCATTCTCCTCACTCCTGATATGGCATCATCAATGGAGTTGCTTCTCCAACATCGCCGCAATTGTGACGTGTTGGATGAGAATCCATACATGTTCGGGAGACCACAGACACTCAGTCACTTCAGAGGATCGGATATTATTCGTGAGATGGCTCAAAACTGTGGAGCAAAACACCCAGGAGCATTATCCTCAACCAAACTGAGGAAGCACATGGCCACCATGTCAAAGGTTCTTAACCTAAAGGACAATGAAATGGATGACCTAGCTGACTTCCTCGGCCATGACATCAGAGTTTATCGTCAGTATTATAGATTGCCTGAAGGGACATTACAGTTGGCAAAAATCAGTAAAGTGTTGCTGGCACTAGAAAGAGGACAGCTCTCCAACTTGAAAGGAAAAAACTTGGATGAAATCATCGATCCACAAGGTAAATTATTATGATTTATTAGTGAAGATTTTATTTGACCCCCTGCATGGCACATTTTATTTATTTTGATGTTGATTTTGTAAATTAAAAAAAAGATGACATCTACAAAAGTTTGAGTGTCAGACATTGAGAACTGTAGGAAGAAGTAGCCCAGCAGGAATTTTTTCATATTGCATATTCTAATTTTTGTACTTTTTTGTTTGCTTGTTTTAATCTCTGGGAAATTCAATCATAATTTCACATTGTAAATTGCTCACTTGAATGGTAGTAGAACAAGGAAAAGCGCTAAGACTGTGCTGGCAGCATATGCAATGCTTCATAATGTAACATGATGGATATTGTTACTTCATTTTCCAGAGAAAATGTCTGTGGACAGTGGATCAGACACTGAAGAAGAGGTTGACTCAGCTGAGAGGGACGCTGAAACTTCATCTTCCAGATCACCAGGTGGGGATGGCAACAAAGAAGAAGAAATTGGTGAGGAACCACAGATGCATTCATTTCTGCCTTTTGTACAATATGTTGTTAAGACAGCAGTGCATTTTTAGATTAGTGCTTAGACATTTTAACTTACTCTCTAGTGTATTATATATATTTCTATTATATTCTAAAAATCTAATGTCAATTAGATTTTAAACAAATGCTTGGCTACTCAGAAGAGTCTCTATCAAGTTCTGACATCACTGAGGAAGAGTATGTTCCTGATTCAAAGGAATCAGGAACATACATCAGGAATGTATGTTCATCAGGAACATCAGGAAGAGTGACAGTCTAAAAGACAGTGACAGTTCTGAAGACAGTAAACAGCTCAAGAAGAGGAAGAAAAGAGCCCAGAAAAATACTTCTTCTCTGGACGTCCAACCACTTAGGAGAATACGTGTGACCACTTCTAGTTCCTTGACCACAAAAGATCCTGGAGAATCTTCTTCAACTGATGAAGATTCAACAGGATTCTCAATTTGTTTAGAAATGTTTTAAAAAGTGTTGCTAACAGGGCCAAACTAAATATTAACTGAAAATGAGGTAATTACAATACAGCAGCTTCTGATTTAGTGCTGTTAAGAAATTAGTACAAAGTTAACTGTTAAGCTGATCATTTGAAATGCTTGTATAAAGCAAACACACTGACTGCTTACACTGTTGAATACTCTTTTACTTAATTTACCTTTGTTTAGGTCAATTTGGGGTGACCAGGAGATGCACCACTGAAAGCAGTGATCTGCCCTCAGCAATAGGTACGAATATTTATAAGTCCGAAGAAAATTAGGTTGTAGATTTCTGATAAATATTGAACCTTAAGAGGCCACTGTCCTCTATCATTACTCTCTCATGTATGTTATATTTGTCTTCTGTCATTTATGCAACTTTTCAATGTACTCTGTACCTGATGATTTTGTCCAAGTCGCATATATTGTGAGATTTGTTTGGTTTCACAGAGAGGTCAGATGGCGAGGATCCGGCAGACATGGAAGTCTCTGGCATCTCTAACACACCTAAAGGTAGTTTCTCTTCCTCCTTGCAGGTTATCAATGAGCAGAAGCTTTTAGTGTTCATAGAATATGTCACATTATGAGGCGTAAACCTATTTCCAATATTTTCTCAATTGGGAAAATAATGAGCATTTCACAGCACTGTCTGTGGTGTCAAAATAAGGCGTCCTCATTTTATAATATCATGAGGATCACATAATATCTCTTCATATAAAACTTTAGAAAAACTAAATTTTCATTTGACTGCATATCCTCAAGCAAAAGTTTGGTTTTATTTCTCCTCCTCTATTATTGCTGCCTTGAACATTCTTCAAACAGCAAACAAAGTTGAATCATCAAAGGTAGTTTGGGTGATTATTTTAATCTTTCTGTTTCACTGCACCTATAAAATATTTCTAAAACCTGTAGTGTTAGGAGAACTCATCAGGCCCTGCGAGTTTTCCCTGGTTGGACTCTGTGACAAAGGGAGATTTGAGTTTCATTCATTAGAGATGTTGCTCTCTTAAGTCAGGCTCACCGAGTCTCCAGCCACCATCAAATTACTCAAAATGATCCTTTCAGTGAAGTCCTTTTTAAAATTTCTATTTTAAACAATTTTGTCTGATTTTTTTTAACATCCACCTGACCTTAATCATTTATGCTTGAGGTATTTAGTACAATTAATTCTGTCCTGTACCTGCTGATGCTTTTATAAGGGATGATGAGATTCATGTATTCACTCACTACCAGTTGTCAGCTTCAACAGTGACAACTATTGATGCTGACAACTGACCCCTTAAATATGAAATATTTTTTACTACAGCTGTCATAAAGAAATGTTTTCATACCTTTATAACTTGCTGTCATACAGACTGAAACCTTTTTTCATTGAAGAACACTGAAGTGCCCCTAATTATGTTTTAGGCCCACCACAAAAGAAGAGAGTCAAGTGGAACAAAGAAGAAGTCCAGGCAGTGGAGAAAACGCTGATGGACTGGATTGACTCTGGAAAGGTTCCTGGGAAAGCTCAGTGTATGAAATGCATTGAAACATCATGTCCTGTCCTCAACAACAGGACCTGGCAAGGTGTGAAATTCTATGTAAAAAATCGCATAGACGCATTAAAAAGAGAGACTTTCAAAAGAAGGTAAGACTTAAGATTTACCTTTTTGTTACCATCAAAGAAAATGGTTGATCAGTTACTGCCATTGTTAGCGCCATAACGCCGATTCTATTGAGTTTCTGCCAGGTTTCAGACAGCTGCAGGAGTCAACCTTTGTTATGCAAGTATTTATGCATACTGTAAGTTCATGTTCAGAATACATTTCATTTATGTACATGCATGTCGGAATGTATGTATTTATTTTTTTACAACAAGACACTGGAAATTGTGTAATAAAATGGTTTATATACAACTAGAAAATGGATCCAGTATTGATGGTTGGCATTAAGCATGTTACCAGGCAAGGTGTAATGTTAGAAATAATATTACACAAAAACAGATCTGATATAATGCTGTTTATTGACTTAAAATAACTAGGATTGCTCATATTTGAGAAACTGTTTGCAAAAATTACACATGCCACCTGGTGGTAGTGAAGGACACGTCCTCACCCGCAGGCAGAAACCTGGCAGATTTTAGTTTTCAAAATTTGATAAATTTTTATGTTACAGATGATATTTCATGTTCCAATGTCCCTTAAAAAATTCCAAACCTAAAACCAAGCCTTTAGCTCATTTAGAAAGTTGTGACCTCACGCGGATCCGCCTGGTCAGTGGGAATAAAGACGCCCTCACGGTTGGTGTTGTGTGCTGCAGGTGGAAACCAGGACGCTGAATGACAGAGTCGTAGAAAGATGGATGGATTCAGACGAAAACAGAATGAAAACGTCCCACATTCTAATCTGCTGAAAGTTTGCCAACGTTAACTTCCATAAGCCGCAGTAATTCACTGCTGAAGGAAGTTTTTTATCACTAATTTCAAAGTCTTATCTCAAAGAGGAAATGTTCTGTTTCCTGCTTCAGAAATCCTTTTGTTATGGACTGAATGGTCGTTAAAAACCTCAAAGAACCACCCAGATATTCATGTTTTCAGGAATTAAATGTTTTAAGAGCAGCTGGGCTTCTTTCAGTAAGTCCTAATCTCTTGTGTCGACTCATTTTAGGTTAATTTTACATCAAATGAGAGAAATGTGAGAAGAACACGTGATGTGAGCACAAAAAACCTAAAAATAATTCCGATTTTTAGTCATCATCAGGGTTTTCACTCCAGTGATGTGGGCCGACTGAATGACTGCAGCTTCAGTCATGAACAGTGATCTGAATTTGTGTCCACAATTTGTTGTAGCTGCACTTATTGTAATATAAGCCATGAGTTTTAAACTGACCCAGAAACCTCCCACACACACGTTAGAAACATCCCACTATTTTAATTGGAGTTGTTCATGAAAATGACAGGATCATTTTGATTATTCTTGAAGTTTTTCACCAATAGAAATGAGAAAAGTGTGATATAAATATGTATCCAGCTCCATAGGTCAGCACTTTGTAGCGTTTTGTCATCACCCAGGAAACGTCTTCAGTTCTGGAAATGACTGGAAGTAACAGGAACCAGGAAGTAATCGGTCCAACGTTTTGGAGCTGATTTGATCGAAGCCTCTTCAAGACGTGAAACGTAAAACCAGGACAGAGAGGAGATAGGAAGCCGACTCTGACACTAAGCACAGGACGTGGTTCACATCTCATCTTTTAGCATCACTTGGTTGGCAGGTTGGGGTTAAGTGCCCTGCCTCTCAGTGGCGGAGCTAGACTTTTTTCCAAGGGGTGGCCAAAGGGTGAGCAAGGCTTTATCAGAGGGTCCATATACAAATGGACCGTTCCATGGAACGAAAGGAAACAATATTTGTTTCCTTTTGTTCAAAATTAATTAATATAACTAGTTAGGTTATAATTCAAAGCTTTCATATGACATAACCTACTTACATTTCAGTCATTATAAAACTTAATGGTTTTTCTCATATTCTTACCACACATTTCAAGCAAGAGCTGGGAGATATAAAATTAGAGGGCAGCATGTCACTAAAACATGTTAAAAGAATCTGTCTAAAACACGATCTATTAGCACTAGCATGGCTAATATAATAAACGAGGCACTATGCAGCGGTACAACCATTTTGTTTTTTTTTTAGAAATGTATGACAAGTGCCGCCTCTCATTAGGAAGGTAACAGCGGTTACTGCTGAGCGTAAAATGTTGGAAATACCTGCAAAACTCCTGACGGTGTAACTCTAAATGTGTTTTTGGATCAAGCAGGAACCAACATGTCAGTTTAACCAATGAACAGCGTCGGCCATCGGGCTGCCTTCAGGGACAGTCGGAAATTACAGTTTTCCTGGCAAATCTTTGCCGATCTCATAAGTATTTTATTTTAAAATGACCATTTCCAGTGGGGTGGCACTAGGGGAGGCAAGGGCTCTGTTGGGGGTGGCAAGTGCCACCCCGGCCACCCCTCTGGCTCCGCCACTGCTGCCTGTGGGCACATCAACAGGTGCTATTGAACCCGCAACTTTCAGATTGTTCTGCAATCTGATTGGAAAAGTTGGAAATTGATTATAAATGACAAAATATAAAAAGGTTGAGACTTGAAATATCTTGTCCTGAAACACGTGGCAGTCGGAGTGAAGCGTTGCTTTAACGTGGCATCAGGTGAAACCTGCAGGTTGCTCCTTATTTTAGCTAAACACAAACAAAACGACTCTTCTAATGAAACAGACTAGAGCTGCAAAGCTGCCAAATGAGAAACTCGCATCAAAACCAACATGAAGCGCTCACATATGGCTCAGATTTCAAACGGGTGAAAATACCTTGAACAAACTTCCAGAGCGGCTTCAACACCTCCCACATTTACACCAAATCAAAGTTTCCCACCGAGTCACATCTGCAGCTGACTCTCTTTGTTTTGTGCCTGAGTGTTTGTGAGTGAAGTGTGTTGACTAAATGAAGCCGTGTCTCTCTCTCACGCTGCCCATGCTGAGCGGCTTCAAACACAAAACGCTGCAAACAGCGGCGCTCTCACTCAGCCAAAAGGAGCAGCTGAAGAAACAAATTTAAATTCCTGTTAATCGGATTAAAAAGTCAACTGAATATCCAACAAGACAAACAGCACAGAAGCTTTATTTACCGAGTCCGCTTGTAGTTGAGATCAGATTTATTTCACGACGATCCGCTGCTGTTTTTGGAGGGAAAGAATGAATTTTCCCAGAAATCAGAGGGACAAGATCTGCATGTTTCCTCAGGCAAACAGCAGCAGCTGATCACCAACCACCACACAGATCACAGCGAGAGAGCAAATTACAAGGAACAGCTGCTTTTAAAAGATATTACATCTAAAGTTGGACATTTATAAATTACTATCTGGTGACTTAACTGACCTAAAACAGAAAACATTTAGCCTGATTTATTGTCTGAGGTTGAGGAGAAAGCTTTAGTTTCAGCAACGCCTACATTCAGGGTTTTCTGTGAAGCTCCACATTATTTATGGAGTTTTCTCCTATTAGTGGATTTTCCATAGAGCAGGTCTGAAATATGCAGAAATGCTGACATATGGAGGCTAAATTGGTTTTGATGGTCTATTGGCTGCTGCTGGCAAAGCAGCCAATCCTGGAGCTCCACTGATGCTGATTGGCTGAAGCCCAAAGAGTTTAAATAAGGAAGACAGTAGATGGAGATGCTTTCTGCAGGAGGAGATGGTTTCATCTGAACATATCAATCTGTTAAACTAAGAAAAGTTTTTTCTTTAAGAGCGCAGAAGGTAATGATTTGACTAGACCGCAGCCTATCGATTCAACCCGCCTGACTGACCTGACAGGAAGAAGTCAGACAGAGGAACAGCAGATATCCTGGACGTCTTTAAAGTTGGGCTGAATAAGTTTGTGAAGTAATTATCACCTCAGTCCAGCATTAGTAGAAGTGGGATCATTTCACACCTGTCTCTCCGCGCAACAAGCAGATAAGCTCAGTGTAACAAGCAGATCCAACACTGTGCTTCTGAATGCGTCTGATGGAAATGATATTTCTATTACACAATAAGCTTATCTTTCCTTTCTTCAACTGCATCTCATAATGGCCTATTATCCACGGCTTTTCATGCTTGATTACTAAATAGGATTTCAAAAGCTTTGCAGGAGTTTGCCAGCAGCTTCCAATGAGGCAGAGAATTGAGAATTGATTTGTTATTGAGCAAAGAAACCAACCCTCTCCAGCGCCTCCCCTCCCACGTCCCCGGATCCGACGGAGCTGCACCGCTCCCTCGGATGTACATGACAATTTTATCCAAGGCTGTCATATTTCATTGGAGTTGTTTTTCTGTAGGAAACAAAGAAGCGGTGGCCCAGGTTTTCTCTCTGTTGGTTTTGAGATGCAGCAGTGAATTCTCGTCTTTGTGAGGACAGAAGGAAAGCGTGGCGGTGAAGACAGATATTTAAGTCCCTTGGCGCCTTCATAAAACCTCGTATACTGCAGCATCCTCACAGCCAGGCCTGTTCCCACACTGAGACGGAGCTGCAGTCACTTCCTGACTGTAGGCAGCCGTCCCAACGCAGAGCCGGACTCAGAACAATGCTGCGGTTCAGCTCCACTCTGTGGCTGAAACACAGAGAAAACGCATCAGATGCTGATTGCCTCAAGCTCCCTTTTATTAGGGAGCGCCACGCACCTGCCTCCGCGCTCATCTGCCAACACAGGAGGACAAAACATCAGCTGTGCATAACGGGGAGAAGATTCCTACCAGAGGCCAACGCTTTTCCATTTCTGTGTAAACAGAGCACAATGCCTCATGGTGATCATAAAAACATGCAATGTTTTCATTTCTTCTTCTGAGAGAATAAACCACCAGCCAAACAAAGACTGACTGTCTGGTTCTGTCCAATGAAAACAGAGGAAAGTTCTCAGATTGATTCTCGTTGAATTGAATCCCCAAGAGCTGCTGAAGGCTGGATGGCAACCAGGGAAACAGCAGGACTGGAGACCAGACATGATGGTCACTGTTCAAGAGAACGGACCAGAAACCGGATCCAACCTCCAGTCTGACTGTGAGGACAGACCACTGGGAATGTGGGCATCAGTTTTATTGAAGGAGAATATGAGGAATGAAAGTTAATCATCTTTCCACCGATGAGGAGATGATGCATCACCACCACATTTTACTTTACATTCCAAACATTTATTCAGAACAAATTATTTTACTAAACTGATGGAGCGATTTTCTTTTTGCAGATTTGCTCAGCTGTGTGAGTTGTTGTCA